GGTCCTTATTTAGAGCTTTAGTGTCTTTGCTTATTTTTTGTCTCGTTTATCTATCCATTTTTGATAGTGGTGTTTTGATGTTTTCCACTACGTATGTGTTTAGTCTGATGTCTGTTTTCAGAGAGGACAACAGTTGTCTGATATATTTTGATAGTTCTTCGTTTGGTGGATATATGTTAATGAGTGTTATTTCTTCTTGAAATATTGTCCCCTTGATCATAATGTAGTGATCTTTGGGGTCTCTTTTTATCTTTTTGAGTTTGAAATCTGTTTTATCGGATATAAGTATAGCTGTTCCTGCTTTCTTCTTTGGTCCATTTGCTTGTAGGATTGTTTTCCATCCTTTATCTTTGAGTCTATTTTTATCTTTTGTAGCTAAGTGTATTTCCTGGAGACAGCAAAAGGTTGGGTTTTGTTTCTTAATCCAGCCTGCGACTCTGTGTCTTTTTATTGAAGAGTTTAGTCCATTTACATTTAGAGTAATATTGATATGTTAGCATCTGTATTTGCCATTGTGTTTGTCTTTCCTTTGATTTTATTTGTTTATTCTGTTAATAACTTTTTTTTTTTTTGGCCTTCTTTTGTTGTTATTCGTCCCTCTTCTCAGAGGGCTTTAGGACTCCTTGTAGTAATTTTTGGAGTGGGGGTTTAGTCTTAATGAAATTCCAGAGTTTCTGTTTGTCTGGGAAGGTCCTTATTCTTTCTTCATAGAGGAAGGAGAGCTTTGCAGGATAGAGTATTCTTGGTTGGCATCTGTTTTCTTGGAGTCTGTTGACTATGTCCCTCCTCTCTCTCCTTGCCCATAGTGTTTCTTCGGGGAAGTCTGACGTCAGCCTGATTGGTTTTCCTTTGAATGTTATCTGTTTCTTCCCTCTTGTCAGCTTCATTATTTTTTCCTTGTCCTGGATTCTTGGGAGATTTACTATCATGTGTCTTGCTGTATTTTTCATTTCGTCGTGGAAGTTTGGTGTTCTTCTTCCTTCTTGTATATCAATTTTCAGCTCCTTCTTCACGTTTGGGAAGTTCTCTTCAATTATGTCCTTGAATATTTTCTCTGTTCCTACATCTCTCTCCTCTCCTTCTGGTATTCCTATAACTCTTATATTTCCTTTCCTCATGGAGTCAGATAGTTCCCGAAGTCTTTCTTTGATCTTTTTCCTTCGTACTTCTCTCTCCTTTTCTGTTTTATTTCTTTTTATTTCTGTGTCTTCAAGAGTACTTATTCTTTCTTCCATTTCATCTATTCTGCTTTCATCACTTTTCCCAGAGTTCTTTAGTGCCTCCATTAATTCTTTGATCTCCTTCATTTCTTTTACTTCCCTCTTTAGGTACTCAATTTCATTCTTCTGATTGTTGATTATTTTTCCCTTATCATTGTTTTCCTTTATGACTCCTGTCAGTTTTTTAATCATGGCAATTTTAAATTCTCTTTCTGGAAGGCTCAGAAGTTCTTCCAAGTTACTGTCGTTGCAATCTGGGGGTGGTTTTCTTTATGTGGTGTGCTTTTTTCCTGAGGAGTTGCTAGGTTGCTTGTGGTTCTTCTACTCCCTACTGTCTGTTTTCTAATTTGCCGTATGCATTGTGACACTGTGTTGCTAGGACTGGCCGGCATCTTGGGTGACATTCTCCTCTCCCCTCTTGCTCCTACTGGAGCCATCTGTCGGTTTCAAGCAGTCTTTATTGAAGAAAGGTCCCTGTTCTAAAATGCCGATGCGGGGACACGCTCCCCTGCGCACCTGGTCTGCCCCGCCGGTGGGTTCCCGCTCCCTCTCTGGGCTAGGTCTGCAGGCCAGAAGGGGCCTGGCATGGGCAAACTTCCCAGCTCACCTCTGGCTCCTCCAGGATCCTTCTTCTTGTTTCAGGCAGTCTTTACTGAAGAAATGTCCCTGTTCTAAAATGGTGATGCGGGATGCACTCCCTGCGTGCCCGGTCTCAGGCACACTTTTCTGCACACCCAGTCTGCCCCAGCCGTGGGTGCCCGCTCCCCCTCTGGGCTCAGACTGCTGGTCAGAAGGGGCCTGGCGTGGGCGAACTTCCCAGCTCACCACTGGCTCCTCTGGGATCCTTCTGCTGGTTTCAAGCAGTCTTTACTGAAGAAAGGTCCCTGTTCTATGGGGTGTTGGTACTTTTTTTTCTGGTCGCTAGGTGGAGCCAGAGATCTCTCCTAGTGTCCTTGGGGGAACTTTTTTTTTCACCCCGTGGGACGGGGAACAGAGTGGGAGTGGTGGGGAAAGCCTCAACGGCTTTGGGGTATTGTGCCTGCCCTGTGCCCCACTGTCGTGGGGAACCCACGCCCCGAATTTCATGCCTGTTCCAAAGGGCCTCAGTTTCAAAGCCCTCAGGTCCAGGACGCAGGCTGTAGCCCAGTTCAGTGTCCACAGAAATGGTGCCTTTTGCACCGTGCTCCCGTGTCCGGGTTCCTGGTTTCTGATTACTCAGTGAGGGACATTCACCTCAGTGAGGGCCCCCGTGCATCTCCCCGCAAGCCTAGGTCGCAGGCATGGGAACCTGGGCAGCTGCAATCCACATTTGCTTTTCAAGCGCGCCGCTTTTCCGCACAAGCTTACCAGCTGGCCTGGGGCTGTGTGTAGGTCTCCGGGAGTCTTTGTTTTTCTCTCAACTTTAGCTTTCTTCCCAAGCATATTACAAAGTATTTTTTGTAAAGATTTATTTATTTATTTATTTATTTATACAAGCACTGGGTACAGTCAGAAGCTCAGGAGCCTAAGAGAATTCACCAGAGCCAGAGCGGGGAGCAGAACAAGCAGACTGATAAAGTACACTGCTGAGGGGGGCAGCGGGAGCACAGGAGAGGTCTGTGTGGCATGTGGCACCCTCGCCAGCAGCCAGGGATCTAACCAGTGCTGCAGAGGCTGCTGGCAGCTTCTCAACCCAATGCTTAACCAGGAAGGCCCTACAAAGTATTTTAATTTGAGTAGCATCCTCATATTTCAACTTTATGGCTTACATTGTTCAAAATGCAGTTATGAAAATTATGCTTTAATAAAGTCACTTCAGTGTTGTTTTTTTCTTCTGCAGCAGCTACAAGCCATATATATAATTCAGAAATAGCTTGCCTTTGGAATTTCTTCTCTGAGACAGAAATTCATTTCACCTGGCAATAAATCAGACTCATCAATACCTTTAATCCAGACGAGCAGATAAAACATACTTGATAACCCTGGTGTTAAAATACCATATCAGGAAAATAATTTCCTCTGCAAACAGAAAGTATTTTTGTAATGTGTGTGTGTGTATTTTACAGCTGTGGGTAAACCTTCCCTTTTGATTAGAAATACAATGAATCCACTGACAGAAGATTTGGCTCCCTTCGCTGGGGTGGAGCAGAGGTGACATGATTAACTAGTCTGTGCAAATGCTATAGGGTAGCCAAGAGGCCAGGCTATTTTTCAACCTGAAGCAGCAGTGATGCTTGATTCCATTTGCATGAAACCCCTAATAGATTCCCCCAGTTTTGGACAAAAATGATTGACTGGGGATTTTATTTCCTGGGAAAACCAGTTCTCTGTAGACATCGTAGCAATAGGCATTTTTAGCTGGGATCTGCCCATCTAAGAGATCAGGGAAAAGCTATCGTTTTTGTAAGGAGATCCTCAGTAGAGAATGACAATGTGAATGATAATGAATGTGCTTGTAGACAAACCATCAGGAACTCTAGCCTAGTTGGGTAACTGAAGCCAATGTTTAAGTTCTCTGCACCTGATGTCGACATCTGTGGAATGAAAATACACCTATGAATGCTTTCGTTCTAAATTTCTCTGTCGTTTCCTATTCTTCCTCTGCATTTATGCCTGGTTCTCCTGTTTGGTTTGGTTTATATGTGGCCCATGGTTTCCTTTCCCCTCTCCTAACCAGTTCCAGCAGTGTGGTGAGTGCAGCCTGGATCTCAGCACAGGAGGCTAGTGCAGGAGCTGAGGTTGTTTCTATGCAGTGAGGAAGCTGTGTCAGGTGGAGGAATTTCTAGCCAGGCTAGATCAAGTGCCAGGGTAACAGGCCAGCTTAGGTGAGTGAGAGAGAGGAGCAACACCATTCTGACAGCTTCTTTGGAGTCCAGGGCCCTTGGACTCTGGAGCGGCAGGTGGCTGTGGAGATGCACGTATATGACCGCGATATTTCACTCTGGACTGATTGCTGTCAGCTCACTGTTTGACCTGAACAGGAAGGCAAGGGGGTAGAGGCCAATGAGCATGAAATACCCACAAGCCCACTGGTACCGTGTAAAGCACTTATCATCACTTTAACTGAATCCTAACAAATAGCCTTATGACTAATACTTATAAATAACACTATGAGATAAGCATTCTTTCGCACACTTTGCTGTGAGAAAACTGAAATTCAGAAGAGGAAATGACTTCTCTAAGTTCACATAGCTGGGAAGTCAGCAATAGCGTTCACACCTGGATCTGACACTCACCCTCCCTCTTTTATACCAGCGCTTCTAAATTCTAGCATGCACAGAATCACTTGATTTAAAACAACAACCACAACCAAAAAAAAAACAAGTAAGATCCAACTCCCATTTTAGGATGCCCCCAGAATTTACTTCTGTAGGATGTTCCTAGTGCTGCTAATAATGCAGACCTGGGCACCTCATGTTGAGAACCAATGTCCTAGACCATGTTGCTCCCATTAGCCTATTCATCATCTTTCTAGGTTCTGTGGAGACACAGAGTGAGGAAACCACTATTCTCATCCTCTTGGGGGTGACGTTTTGGAGAAAGGAACAATCAACTCAATGAAAAAAATCAGAAGACAGTACCAGAAATTTTCTTCTGTGGGGGTAAAACCTTGTGGCAGGTGGGGAAGGGCCAAAAGGGCACAACAGGCTGGCGAAGACAAGGCCAGGGCTGGGCCATATGAGACTGGAGAACTGGAAGAGAGGGCAGGAGTAGAGGAAGTGGACACCCAGGGAGTGTCTGGGAAAATGCAGAGCACTCTGGGGAAACTGGCCAGGGAGTGCCAGGGCCTTGGTGATGACGATGATGATGCCAGCAGCCACTGGTCACGAGCTCTTCACAAACACAGCCAAATGTAATCCTCGAAGTAACCCGTTTTGGTTATTAGCTCCGCTAAGGACAGTATGGCTGCTGCTTCCAGATCTGGGTCTGAGCATCTGGTGATGGCACTGAAGTTAGACCAAGGCATCACCTGATTCCCTGGGCCATTTCTGTGGTAGAGAATGTGACACTTTGGCCCTATTTGCACAAGCACACCCTTATAGCATCTAGAAAATAGAACACATTCTTTATTGGTTTTTAAAAATGTTAAGGAAGTCTTCATCTTTACCCAGAAATACTTGACTAATTGGTCCTGTCTAACCTTTCTTTCTTCCAAACGGGCCAGCTGTTGCCTGAAGGAGAAAAATTAAACAGGCGATATTTCCACAATTTCAGGGTCAAGGTGATGGAGATGACTGTCTCTAAGGGGTCTAGCAAGCCCTTTCTGTCTTATGCTCTGGGAAACACCCACCCAGCTGCATGTCCCACTTCAGGGGGCTTGAGGGCACTGAGGCAGAGAAATGCTACATCCTGCACCCCACTGCTCGGGTACAACCCAAAATTTCCTGGATTAAAGACTATCAAGTGCTTCAGTGCAGGAATCAGCTTCTCTTGGTTTTGAGTCTTCCTTTCCCAAAGTTAGGTGACCATAAGCTATTTTTGTTAGCTACAACATGTCTTATGGAGCTGAGCCCTATGGCACCCTGAATCTTGCAAATGCTGGACAGGGTACTTAGTTCACAGCAGCAAGATGGAGCATTCATCACACCCCTGTTCTGTGGCCTGCAGTGTGCCTGGGTTAGACACCCCCGATTCCACAAGCTGTGGATCTTAATTTAAATAAAACTTTCCACAAAGGAGGCAGAACCTAGCTAACTACACACCTGATCTGCTTAGAATGGAAGTATGTATCCTTCCCTGTTGTAAACATTAACAAAAGATCCATCTTAATCAATGATCTAGACTGATAATTTCCAAACGGTGTTTTTTCTTTCAAGCCATGAAGGCTTTTGTTCAGCAAATGCTTAGGAGAAAACCCAATATGCCAAAATGATAGAAGGGAGCTGCTATAGTGGAGCAGGGTGTGTGTGTGTGTGTGTGTGTGTGTGTGCACGTGTGCGCACACACACTCAGGGGTGAGCCCTATCTGCTACCACCCTCTCTCCTCAGAACTCCCAAGGAGACATCAAGAGGCCTGAGTTTTCCTGACAATTGACGAAGATGCTCAAACTAGCCAAGTGTAAGACAACTCCTGTTTCCCACTTAAGCAAAGAAATGCAGCCGGCCCATGATCTGTGTCTCTGGTCCTGAGGGCTTAGCCTTGTTAAAGAAACAAATGGGTCTATCTGAGTACATCATAACCTCCACAACTCCCTTTGCCAACAGATTTTGATTTTTTCACCTGCAAGATCGCAGCAAGTCTGACTCAGAGAAAGATCATTATTCAAAATGGTGATAAATTCAAGATAAAAACCATGAGCTCAGTCCGCAACTATGACTTGGATTTCACCATGGGCGTGGAGTTTGAAGAGTTCAAAAAGAGTTGGAAAGTTCAGGTACTTGTCTGGGCTAGAGTTTCTCTTCCATCCACTCGGTGCAGGGGTCAGCTATGTGGCTTCCCAATAAAATGATGACAGAAGCAACACAGGAGAAGTAAAGAAAAGGGGACCAAAATGGACTGATGATGCTGTCCAGAGCAGCTCTTGAGGTTTTGTCGAGGGGGCAAGGTGGCTTCCTCACTAAGCTTGTAAGCAAAGGAGAGATGAAAGGATGCTCAGCTCTCCAGGGTGTGGGATCAGAAACCAACTCCTCTACTGATACTGCCCAGCAGGCAAAGTGAAGATAGAGAGGTGGGCTATCCCAGGGAGGGTAGCCTCTGGAAGCTTAGCTTAGAGGAGCAGACAACACCAGCCAGTCACTGACAAGGAGGAATGAGGCCTCGTGTTGCTATTTTTTTCTTTTATCCGTTGAGAAACAAGGTGTTTTAATAAGAAATGTCTCAAATTTAGGTGATCCTAAATTTTTTTTTAAATAAAATGCCAATCAAATAAAAAAGTCAGATTAAATGAAGCCAGGGTTTCTCCTGTCCTGGGAACTTAAAGAAGTCTCTGGCAAGATTGTTGATTCTCTCTCAGCATCACCTTAACTCACAAGACATAAGCGAGAATAATGGAATCAAATCAAAAATCCAGAAATAAACCCACAGATTTATGGTCAACTAATCTTTGACAAAGAAGCCTAGAATATGCACTGGAGCAAAGAAAGTTTGTTCAATAAATGGTGCTGGGAAAAATGGGTCACTACATGCAAAAGAATGAAGCTTGACTACAACCTCACCCCATGCACAATAACCAACTCAAAATGGATTAAAGAACTAGACAGAAGACCTGAGCCCATAAAATACATAGAAGGAAATAATAGGTGAAACACTATATGACATGCACCTCAAAGACATATTTACAGACACATCACCCAAAGCAGTGATAGTGAAGGCAAAGATCAACAGCTGGGATTACATCTAATTAAAGAGCTTCTGCACAGCAAAAGAGACAATAACCAAAACAAAGAGAAACCCCACCAACTGGGAGAAAATTTTTGCACACAACACTAATGATAAAGGACTGATCACAAAAATCTACAAAGAGCTGATGAGACTCAACAAAAACAAAGAAAAAAATCCAGTCAAAAAATGGGCAGAAGAGCTAAAAAGAAACTTCTCTGAAGAGGAAATGCAAATGGCCAACGGGCATATGAAAAAATGTTCAACATCACTTGTAATCAGGGAAATGCAAATCAAAACTACAATGAGATACCATCTCACAGCAGAGAGAATGGCGAATATTAAAAAAGCTAGCAACAACAAATGTTGGAGAGGTTGTAGAGAAAAAGGAACTCTCCTGCACTGTTGGTGGAGTGCAAACTGGTCCAACCACTATGGAGAGCTGTGTGGAGATTTCTTGGCAGAATAACATAGAGCTTCCATATGATCCAGCAATTCCACTCCTAGATTTTTAACCAAAAACACAGAAACATCAATTCCAAAGGGTGCCTGCATCCCTCTGTTTATAGCATCACAATTTACAATAGCTAAGCTTTGGAAACAACCCAAATGCCCAAAAATAGATGACTGGATCAAGAAGATGTGGTACATATACACCATGGAATATTACTCAGCATTCAAAAAAGATAAACACATGTAATTTACAGCAACATGGATGGAGCTGGAAGGGATCATGCTCAGCGAAGTAAGCCAGAAAGAAAAAGAAAAATACCAGATGGTCTCACTCATAGCAGAATCTAGAAAACTTAAATAAGGGACCAGGAAAAAGAATAACTATAAGAAAGAAAAAATCAAAATCAACTAACAAGTATGAACCAGAGACACTCTATGGGGGGTGGGGGGCAGGGAAAGGAGGGATTGGGGTCAAAATAAGGGGGTTTTAATTGTATGGGGAATATAAAAATAAAATTTAAATTAAAAAAAAGACATAAGTGAGGAGATCCTCCACATATCTGAAGGCCAGACTTCCAGCTACTTGAACTGTTTGAATATAGGTAGCACCCTGAAAGTGAGAAAACATCACTGCATGCAGAGTAGGATACACATACTCACTGTCCAAGGACACAAGCCTGCCTGAAAGTCTGCAGAAGAGGCAGGCAGTGCCCAGAGGAGGCAAGCGTGGAAACAATAGGGAGCAAGACTTGGGAAACCGGACTTAGAGCAGGTGCCTTGTGCTTCAGCAGCGCCACATGGTGTCACAGCCCATGATCTATCCTCATGGTGTCCACATTCATGCTCAGTGCATCTGTCTTCAGTTTTCCAGATCAAATCACACCTGCTCATTTCCCACAAACAAACATGAGGAGGAATCCAAGCCCATTTGTACCTAAGGATTCCCTCACACCATTTGTAGTATCATATAAGAGCCCTCAGGCTACACAGTCCAGGAAACTTGGGAGTGTTTGTAGTTCACCACTTGCAGTGGTTGCCATTGACCACTCACGGCACTCACGCAGTTTACACAACATGGGCAACTTGAAATTCATAGCCCCATTCCTCTGTGCCGGGGCCATCACCAGGATCTCTGCACTGGCTCCCAAGCTAAGGGGGGCAAGACTGAGTGTTCTGTTCCAAGTTATCTTGTCCTCACCCAGAAGAAAGCAGGTCTCCCCACACTGTCCTGCCCCTTCACTGTGAGCCCCACCCTCCCCAGGATCTCTTCTGGGTGCTTCCAGGAGTCCCTTCAAAGTCAGAGATCTCAACTCTCTCCCAAAGCAAGAGCTAGGGCTCCTCCCCTGGGGTGGGGAGGAAAAGATGTTATCATTCTCGGTGATGACTCTGAGGTCAAGAGACAGACCACATTTTATTTCTCAGCCAAGTTGTCCTGCAGCATAGATAATCTCAAGTCAAGGTTGAATTTTACTTAGGGATTCTTGCTAAAGAAAAGTGGGAAGTTATTATGACTAAACCCCCACTACAAAAAATACTAGAAGGAGTCTTAAAGCCAGAACCAACAGAGGGATGAATAACAACAACACAGGCCAAAGAAAAAAAAAAAGAAAAAATAGTTATTAAAAGAATAAATAAAATCAGAGAAAGAGAAACAAAATGGCAAATACCAATGCTAACATATTAATATTAACTCTAAATATAAATGGACTAAAATCTCTAATAAAAAGACACAGAGTCACAGACTGGATTAAGAAACAAAACCCAACCTTTTGCTGTCTCCAGGAAACACATTTAACTACAAAAGATAAAAAAAGACAGAAAGTAAAAGGATGGAAAACAATTCTACAAGCAAATAGATCAAAAAAGAAGGCAGGAACTGCTATACTTATATCAGATAAAACAGATTTCAAACCAAAAAGGTAAAAAGAGACCGATGGTCACTACATTTTGATCAAGGGGGCAATACTGCAAGAAGAAATAACACTCATTAACATATACTCACCAAATGAAGAAGCAACAAAATATATCAGACAACTATTATCATCTCTGAAAACAGATGTCAGAGAAAACACAGGTGTAGTAGGAGACTTCAACACACCACAATCAACAATGGATAGATCCAAGACACAAAAAGTAAGTAAGGACATGAAAGCTCTAAATAAGGCTCTAGAGCACTTGGGCTTAACAGACATCTATAGAACACTAAATCCCAAAAAAATCCGAGTACACATTTTTCTCAAGCACACAGGGATCATTCTCAAGGATTGATCACAAACTGGGACACAAGACAAACATCAACAGATACACCAAGATTGAAATCATACCAACCATCTTCTCTGACCATGAAGGCCTCAAACCAGAAATAAACCATAAAAAGAAGGCAAGGAACTCTCCTACCTCATGGAGATTGAAAACCACACTACTGGAAGACCACTGGATTAATGAGGAGATCAAAGAAGAAATTAAAAAATTCTTTGAATTGAATAACAGGGAGGACACCAATTTCCTAAATGTATGGGATGCAGCAAAAGCAGTCATAAGAGGAAAATACATAGCAATAGACGCTCACATCAAGAAACAAGAAAGAACTCAAAGAAACAACGTAATCTCTAAGCTCAAAGATCTAGAAAAAGAACAACAAAAAAACCCCAAAAACAGTAGAAGAAAAGAAATAATAAAAACCAAAGCAGAAATAAATGATATCGAAACTAAAAAAACAATCCAAAAGATCAATGAAACCTAGAACTGTTTCTTCAAAAAAATCAATAAAATAGACAAACCCCTAGCCAGGCCCACAAGGGAAAAATGGGAGAAAACACAAATAAATAGGATCACAAATGAAAGAGGAGAAATCACAACAGACACAGCAGAAACCAAAAGAATAATCAGAAACTACTATGGACAGTTATATGCAAACAAGTTCAAAAATCTAGTAGAGATAGACAAATTCCTGCAACTCTACAATCACCCAAAGCTAGATAAAGAAGAAATAAAACACCTAAGCAGATCGATTACAAGCAGCGAAATTGAAATGGTAATCAAAAACCACCCCAAAAACAAAAGCCCAAAACCGGATGGATTTACAAATGAATTCTACCAAACATTCAGAAATGAATTAGTGCCTATCCTTCACAAACTCTCAAAAAATTGAGAAGGAAGGGATAATACCAAACACATTCTATGAAGCCAACGTTACACTAATACCAAAACCAAACAAGGACAACACAAAAAAAGAAAACTACAGGTCAATCTCTCTAATAAACACGGATGCAAAAATCCTCAATAAAATTTTAGCTGTCAGAATCCAATAAATCCAAAAATGTATCCATAAGATAATTCACCATGACCAAGTAGGATTTATTCCAGGGACACAAGGATGGTTCAACATCCGAAAATCAATCAATGTAATCTAACACATCAACAAAAAGAAATATAAAAACTATATGATAATATCCATAGATGCTGAGAAAGCATTCAACAAAGTACAACACCCATTCATGATAAAGACCCTTGAAATTCTCAGGATACAAGGAACATACCTCAACATCATAAAGCCCATATATGACAAGTGCACTGCCAATATCATTCTTAATGGTGAAAAGC